TTGAGGACTCTTTTCAATTTTTTTATTTTACCAAAATATTACTTTAGATTGGTTTGGAAGTGAGAGAAAAAAACTTCTCAATTTAATATATTCGTTGATTAAAAGAAAATATTTTTTCAATCATTACGAATAGAGTATAAAAACTATTCAGAAAAGCTATGGAAAATTCTCAAGACAACTTGATTTTGAAAAAAACTTGACTTGAATAAAAAATTTTAAAAAATTTCAAAATTTAAAATTAGTTCCCTTAAAAATCCCAATTTTGCTTTCTTTGAAGCCTCACAAACTCTAAGAAGTTCTTATGCAGCCAACTACCATAATCACTATAAGAATACCTGAGGCGAGTTTCGAACCAGCTTCCAATTCGAACAGGAACTGAAAAGGGTGCAAAACTGGACGAGACATTGCCAGCTTTTCACTTCGTCTGCCTTTTCTCCCTGGAAAACTCCATTTCGAAACTGTAAATCCTTTCAAAGGTACCGTCAAAGTCTGCAGGATTTGTGGAATCAGCCGTACGATATTTGTGACAAGGCTGTTCGCCTCGGCAATGGTGGCCTTGTTCAGAAATGCAGAAGAGAAGTTTGTGTCTCGATTTGGAGATTCGAAAGAGACTATCAGGTACTGACACACGCAGCAGATGTTCTGAAAAATGATTGAAATTGATTTGATACTCATAGTTTTTCGTGAAAATAGGCTCGAGACGAAGAAAGGAAAATTAGGAAATTCTAAAAATAATAAATTATTAAAGATGTGTTATAATCTTGAAAAATGAATAAATTTCCAAAAAAATCCAATCTTAATCAATAAATTGAAACAGTAACCATGACTTCAGCCGGGGTTTCCGCCTTCGCTACAAACTTTGGCGCCATTTGCAACACTTTATCATTGGAAAACAGGATCTTGTTGTTTTTCCCGAAATCCTTGAACTCATTGAAGTTTGTGGCTTTCGCTCTGGAAACAATTTTATGCTTTATATTTAATTTTTCGAACAGTTATTTGAATTTTTTTCTAACACGTTAAGCGTCTTTTAGTTGTTTTGAAATACACAAAAAAAAAATTTAAAGACGCATAACCTTCTATTATTTCAAAAAATAAAGCATGAGAAGTACCTCTTTATTTCAAGGTTTAACTCAAATTTGTCAATGCTCTGTTAAAAAACGAGGAAAAAAATAAATGCCTAAAAAAACACTAAAAAATTGCGCTTTAAATTTTTTCAGACTACCAGTGTTTCTGTAAAATCATTGAAAACTGAAATAAAAAGAAACAAACTTGATTTTTCCGCGGTATTTTTTTCTCACAAGGTAGCCGAGAACGAATGGCTCAAGCTTTCGGGCAAGTTCTTGCCGTCTTGCCTGCGTCTCCTTTTCCTCACGCTCTTTCGCATTCTTTTCCAGGGTTTTCAAAATATTGTCCATGGCGTGAAAACCAGACACTTCAGCCAACCATCCTGTAGGATAAGGCCCTGGTCCAGCGTCTCTGAAAGAGAAAATCCCTTTATAAGCTAACTTGAAATAAAAGGCTGAAATAGAACAGAGAGATGAAAACCTTGATGGGAAAATTGTAAGAAAATTCAAAGGTATTTCTCGACAACTTTAAAGTAAGATATGTTTCCTAATTTTAGGACTTCATGAAATGAATGAAATAAATGAATTACAAGAAACCTCCTTGAAAATTTTAAAGGCGCAACGAAAAGTGTGGCTTAATTCAAAAATGAAAATGCTCTTCGTGTCGGAACTTTTTTTCCCTAATTTCGTCATGCTCCTTTGAAAAAAATATTTTTTTGCCACTTTTTTTGTAAAAATGATGTAAAAAAAGTATGAACCTCTTTTTTATTATACTTTTTAGTTTCGCTAAACCAGAGTCTTACTTAAAAAAATTTCACTCCCTCAAGAAATTTTTTTCTGAAAAAAATATAGATGAAGAAAGTAAATTCCAAACTAGAGTGAAACATTGGTGCTGTGCAAGCATTCACGCATTCATACAATATTTGAAATGCAGGACCAACACCTCGATAGAAAAAGTCAACTGATTATTATCAAGAAAAAAACTTTATTATGAGAAATGACTAGGAAAATGCAATAAATCGCGACGTAAGCACCTTTGAAAAAAATCTCAGATCAATGTAAGAATTTTAAAGCGATAACGGCAAGAGGAACAATGAGATACTGTTTGAAACTATATGTACAAAAGTTGGATGAGGATAAAATATGACAAGAATTTGAACAGGAAATACAGTTTATTGATGGAAAAATGAGGAGAGTTGTGAAAATTGACGGGGAAAGGAGGAAAACAGTATTGGAAAACTAGACTTGAGTGTGTATTTTGGAGCCCCCGGGATTGGAGTGGACCAGAGGCCTGGAGGAGCCGCCCGTCGGTCGCATCGAGTTCATCACGATCGCCTGGGCCCGTTCGTCATCTGCAGATTTTCTGATTAGTGATTTTTTCCAAGTTTGAATAAAATTCATTGAAAAACTGATTGATAAAATCTTGGTTCTATAATTCAAAATAATGAATTTTATCAGAGAACTTGACTAGCAAAAACCAACTGTGCGCATTCTGCTCATCGGATTTCTTCTTCCGGAGTTTTCTCTTGGCGGCGATCAGATCGATTTGTCTCTTGGTCCTTGGGATTCGTATCCTCATAAAACAGCACACGATCACAACTGAAAATTGCGTTTTCAAAGCGTATAAAAGCGTTATTCTAGAATTTCTGAGACTTTTTTTGATAGCACATAACGAGAAGGTTAATCGAATTCGCCCTGAAACTGTGAATTATTTTAAAAATCGCTTCAAGACCAACTCCATTCAACGCTTGCCAGGAGAAAAAAACTACAAAATGTCTGAATTCTCTTTTTTTTGGAACGCTATTATGCTAATATCTCACTGTTGATGAGATAGGTAAAAGACTACTTGCTGCGATAAACTTTTCAAAACTAAGTTTTATGCTGATTACCACAATTTCTTTCGAATAAGCTTCAAAAATGCTTCTTATTTGTCATAAATTTAAAAAAACGAACTCATGATGAGAAGGACACCTCCGACGAGTGCAATCAGCATCCATAACCGAAGGCCTGGGGCCACAAACTGATCCAGTGCTGACAGGTGATTGGGAACCTGAAACTTTCCACTAAATCTCTAATTCGAAAATAAAATCGGGCGAATTATAATTCTCTCGCAGAGGCGCAAATACAAATTTTTTTGCCCACTCAGTAATTCCTAGGAACGCCAGAGTGGTCACTCGAGGGCTTAAGCGAAAAAAGCCCTATAGTGGACAAGTTAGTGCTCCCTAGAGAGTTAAAGTTTAAGTGGTTGTTTTTATGGTCCCTAAGATCCTAAATTTTAAGTGGTCCCGGTAGATTCGCTAAAGTTCGAACGAATGAACTATAATTAAACTCAGTTTTTCTCTATTTTATTAGGCACACATCACTTGATGAAAATTATACTGAAATTTTTTTTTTCAGTTTTTTCAAGCTTTTTTCAATTGGGTTTTTTTCGGTAATCTCTCGATTTCCTATAATTCAAACCTGTTGCTGTTGTTGTTGATGAACACCGAATCGCGGAGGCTCCGTCACCGTCATCCTTCCTGAAAAAATCAGAATAAAAAGCCTAGAAAGCGAAATTTTTGTAGAAAAAAACATCAGAAACCTGATCAAAAAGTAGAGAATAAAAAAACAAAAAAATACATATGCAAAAAAAGTGGAATTTTTTGAGAAAAACTTTCTCCGTGTTTTTTTAGGTCAGAGGAGAATTCCGCGTTTTCAAAAAAACTGCAACAAAGTCGGACGAACTATATACTTTTCTATTTTGATTCCAAAAACAACTTAAGAAGCTTTGACGCCTATTTCAAACAAAAATTTCAGAACAACCGCAAAAGAGAAAGCAGAAAAGTCAAAAAAAAAAGAAAGAAAACAAAGCAAACAAAAGCGACGGCGGCGGGAATGAAACCAGATGCGCGCCACGACTAATTTCGAATCATTAATTCATACGAAGTGACTTTTTTCCAAGCGGGAAAAAAACAGGAAGCTGGTGAAAGATATCAAGAAATGACCAACTAAAACACTCTGAGAAGGGGGAAGAAATCCAAGAGCGGCCGAGGCCGGAAATGAGAGCATTTGAGCGTGTTTGAGAGTGTCTGTCCACTACACCACTAGGAAAACCCGATTCAAAATAAATGAGTGGTGTTCACCAAAAAAAAATCGTTTTATTTTTGTTACCAAAACAAAAATGGTAAAAGTTCTTCACTTCAACTTTTTTTCTCCTGAGTTTTTTTCTACACGTCCGTGACGGGCAAAGTCCAGTAGTACCTAAAAAGAACCTTTGGAATATAGCCTCTAAAAGGCCTCACATGCTCCTTTCCTTCTTGACCTTTTTCTAAAAAAGACTCTTCAGGAGAAAAAAAAAAGAACGAGGAAAAATGATGAAAAAAGGAGATTTCGAGAAACTTTTGACAACTTCTTATGAACTGGAAAAGTAGCTCTAGAGTCTTCTTTTTTGCGACCTTCTTGAGGCCGTTTGGACTTTGCCCGTGTAAGTGATCTAAAGAGTATTAGTAAAAAAAAAGTGTTTTTGTGTCCAAAATCAAAGCTGAAACAGAGAAGTTGTGTTCGCAGGGTGCGATATTTTTTTACATGTTTGGAAATTTAAAAAACTGGATCAAATTAGATCAGACTTAAATAAAATCTCCAGAACTGACAAAGATTCAACCTGAATTTAGCATCACTTATATTCTTGATCGAAATCACGAAATTTTTTCTCCTGAAATTTCAAAACTAAACTCGAAAATTCTGATCCACAGGACCGAAACTGTAAGAAGCAGGAAAAAAAGAAGTTGTGTGCAAAAATGCAAGGTGCGCCATAAATATGGATACACGTTCCAAACGTTATACAGTTTAAACAAGAAATTCCAACAAGGATTTATGAATTTAATTTCATTAAAGCAATAAGTAAAATATTATAAACAATATGTTGCAGAAGGTCTTCCCGGCCTTTATCACGGCAAATCAGAAGTCGTTGATTTCTTCCCATTTTTCTTGGAGCTGTTTGGAGTTGAGGTCTTGAGCTTGTTCTTGATGATCCTCCTTATCGAAGCCTCACTTATTTCGAGGTCCTTCGCCATTTTCCTCATGCTTCCTTCCGGCTTCTTCTCGATCATCTTCCGAACTTCCTTGACCGTTTTCGACGTCGTGACAGAGACCGGACGGCCGCTTCTTCTGACGTCATCAGAAGTGCCGAGCCGCTCGAAACGTTTGGCCGTACGGTAGACCAAAGTGCGATCGATTTTCAGAGATTTGATGATTTCCGAGTTGCTCATCCCTTTTTTGAGGCAGTCAATAATCGCCGTTCGATGTGGAGAAGGCGCCACCATCGCCGGAAAAGGGAAAAATATGAGACGAAGCTTCGAAAAGATAGGCACATGACCCATAATTATGGCACACCCTGCATTTAAAAATTGCAAAAAGAAAGAACTCAGGAAAAATCTTGTCGATGAGTCTGATTGATGAAAACGTGTATAAGGGTTTACCTATTTGTAAGTGAAAAAAATTAGTAAATTGTTTCAGTTTATGAGAAAAAAAGATATTGAAAACAACTTCTTTACAAAAAGATACTTTTTTTAATTCGAAAACAGCCAGATTTTTCAGAGGAACTAGTTTAAGTTCTAAGTAGCGACTTGCAAAATTTCTTGATTTTCAAAAAAAAAAGTTTATAAGTTCCAGCCGGTGGCAAAATCTTCGCGAAAGACCAACTTTTGTTGAAAAATAGAGAGTTTTGGAGATTAAAACCTTCTGATTTATTCCATCAAAGAGTAGGCAACTTTTAAAATATTTCTGAAGAAGATTTTGCTCGTATTGTAATAATGATCAACATTTCGTAGACGCTTTCGCAACCAACAAACTACGATTCTTGCGATTTCAAAGAGACCGTGAGACAGCAAAGTAGTGGAAATTGGAAATACTCGACCATAAAACTTGAAGGCTAAAACCGCCGGGTCGAGTAACGGCCGCGACTAGCCAGGAAATAGGCAAAATTACACTGCGCCACTGCTCAACTCTCATTGCACGCTTCTTGGTGCCGTAGTGGAATTGGAAGATTCGAAATGGAGGCTCTGGGGTGGTGTTCCTTTTTTCTTGAAAATTACGACCACAAGTTCCGCCAACTTGTCAATTTTCCACTTAAACTGGCAAAAATGATACGTCCACTTTGCACGTTGAGAATTTTTTCTCGATTGATTTATACTACCTTATTAGGCCAAAACAAAACTTTCAATTAAAAAGACATGATTATGAAAAAAAATAACTCGTTTTCAGAAAAATCAGATCATTAAGGCGGGTCAAAAACGATTCCGAACCGTAAATTTGCGTGTTCTTGCTTGTGTCTCAAAGCAAAGGTGAATGGAGTTTACGAAGATAAAAGGAAAAAACTTTTTTGAGGTTCTATATTTTTTTTGAAAACCAAAAACTATGCACGGAATGTGAGAAAAAGGAAAAACGGCAAAAAAATATACTAAAAAGTTCAAAAAAACTTTCAAACAACAAAAAAAAATCAAAAAATATAAATCTACATTATTTATTGCAAGAAACATCATACACGAAAAAACAATTATGCGAGAAAAAATACCAGCCACAATCCAGACAAAATGAACCCTGCGAAATTATGTATGCCAAAGTAAGAGGTGGAAAAAAATAAGAAAAAATAAAGTCAGATCAACTATAAACACCGTTGAGAAAAAAGAAAAAGCTGCCCAGCAACCGAACTTTTAAAGTTATATGTTAAAGTTAAATAATCAGGACGACCTGGAAGCTTCCGGTCGCATAGAGAATGACTGGAACGTTCATTTTTAAACTAGATTCCAGCAAGAGTTGTCGTCGTGCGCAAGTCGTTTTGGGTCCGGCACACTTCAAAATTAACTTCTTGACTGCCGTGTCATTCTCAGAACAACCAAAAAGTTTCAGATTGCTTCAAATCGTAACATAATTGATTCAAAACAGTCTTCTGAAGCCTTTAAATGCTCATACATGAATAATACTTATTCAGTTCTGATTTGAAACTTTAAAACCTCTCGAAACTATTTTGAATAAACTAAAAAAACAATATAATTTAAAAATATCTCCTTTGACATAGATAAATGGCACAAGAAGAAAGAGCCATTTAACATGAAACAAAATACTTTCGAAGGATAAATGTACATAGAATTATAGAGAATACAAGATGGATAGATTAGACTCTTTGGTAACATATCTCATTAACCGCTTGCTTGAGAATCTACATGAAACAGTGTGAAAAACGAAGAGATTCGGACTTCTCAGCAGTGGTTTTCCCTCAAGCTAGCGGTGAATGGAGCACAGATTCCCATGGAAAATGGCAAGAAGGTCAAGTTTAAAAGTAGAAAAAGCGTAGGAATAGCACGGCTGAACGGCGAGACACGTCCCCGGAGATTTTCCCAAGCGTAATGCGCCAGAAATCCACGAAAAAATTTGGAATGGGAAAAGCTCTCAACAAAGAAACAAGAAATGTACAAAGTTAGTGAGAAAGATATATCACAGGTGAGTGTGTGGAAAAATGCAAAAAATACGAAAATAAAATGATAAAGTGATAAAACCTAAGAATGAAAAAACTTAGAACTTTCTACTGCTGTTGGCCAGCCAATTTGCAGTCGACCTTCATTGGATTTTTGCCCATTTTTTTGGCGAACATTGGCCTTTTTGGGAAACTCGTCGCCTCGGAAATTTTCTTTATTGTTGTCCTTTTTTGGGCAATCCATTCCAATTCTTCACCCATATGCGTGAAAATAAATTCTTCCACGGCGTCCTGGAAAATATTTCGATGAAAATTCCAAAAAAAAAAAAACTTTTTTGAAGCTCTTTTTTTTTTAGTTACCGCCAGCTAACGCGTTGATAATTGAATTCGTTTTTTGTTCAATTATGAAGATGCTTAGAAACTGCTTACTAAACTACTGCTGAAACTGCTAAACTGTTAAGTCATTTTCACTTTTTATACATATTTTTATTTGTTTATTGGGAATAAATCAAGTTTATCAAGCGTATTTTGCGTGTTTCTAGAGTCCCAGCGGCATAATCAAAAGTTACAAAAAAATAATCGAAAAAAACAATTTACGAACTTTACGATCGACTTGTTTTTTTTTTAAATCAGCTTCGAAAGCTGAAAAGTTGATTTTCCAAGAAAAATTTTTACTGGTAAAATAGAAAGAAACCTCACTATGCAGGGAAAATAACCTATAAAGAGTCAAGTGAAACTCTGAATAATTCATGTCGAATTTTTCAAAAATGACAGATGAATACTGATTCTAATGTTTAGGAAATTATCAATGAAAATAAAGTGATTTCCAAACCTCGAAATAAATTTTGGACATTTCATCTCGTAATTTCCTTTCGATGTGTTCTATCGGCTCGACATACATCTCTAACAAAGGCTGGATCTTCTGAAAAGAATGAAGTGAAACCGTAAAGTGAGAATGAAGACGTACATCGATATACCAATGACTACTGAGCGAGTAATCGTCGGCGACTCGGGAGAGCCATCCGTTCAGTTCATAATCGTCGCTCCGATACACTCTCAGCTGTTTCTTCCGTTGGAACAAGTCGTTCACGAGCTCGTAGATCTTGAAAACGGATACAGTACCGCCAAGAAAGATAGAAAAATAGTTTTTTGTCAAGTGGGGCTCAATCTTCTTGAAACTCCATGAAACTGTTTACTCTTTTTCTGAGAACTGAAATTCCAACAGAGTGTTACAAACAGCGGTCCTCACAACTTTAGCTTCAGTTAACCGAAATGGCATTTTTAAAAGAAATTATCAAATTGAAAAAAAGGTTTGACTCTTTGGCTAACAACCGAAGACTACCGAGAAGATCGAAATTTTTTATTACTTTCATTACTAAATTACCTTGCTTCCAGGAAATCTGCAGCCAGTGACAAAAAAGCCGAGATCCGTGGGAATTGTGCATTGAAGGAGGTCGTTGGTAACCGGATAAGAGCCTTGTAAAGGCCTACCTTCCTGAAAAAATCCTCTATCAATCAAGTTCCCCGTAGTATGAAAATAAAAAATTGTGAAAAATAGAATACAATAAAAAAGGTTCAAAAAAGCAACAAAGGAAGTAGTGATCAGCTATTCCGTTTCTTCATTGGCTTGAAAGGCAAATAACATTTTCATCATAATCAATGCGAGAAACTGATTACCAAGACAGTTTCCATGGCCATGGAAAGGGTCGGGAGAGCGACGGGTAGAAGTTCGGCCAAAATCGCCAGATGGTCGTATCGGGACCAGCCCGCCAATATTTGACCCTGGAAAATCGTCAATTGAATTTCCCCTCTATACGTTTACAAGTACAGAACTAATACAGTCCAGGAAAAATGAAAGGCTTACGGAAAATTTCGAGAAATTAGTTTCCAAATATGTTGATTTTATTAGACTATGTTTCCAAATGTGTTGTATCTATTAGAAACACCTCAAGGGACCACTCTGGCGTTTCAGACAACAAAAAAATGGGAAGCCGATTGGATCTGTTTCAAACTCACTGATAGTTGAGCAAGCTAGTGAGTCTTGAATCAATGAAAAATTTGAATAATTATTTTGTTTTCAATAAGTCACCTCAACATAGTCGAACTGTTGATAGACCGAAGTCAACTGGTTGATCCAAGATTCGTGGTTCCTGACGTAATGCATCGAATTCGTACAGTATCTCGCCGGACCGTCGGCTCCTTTCCACGCAGAACTCGCCCAGACGCGGCCGAATGGCTGGAAAACAAGGAATTATCGAAGAAATCTCCTTGTTAGCCACTCTGAGGGTCATCCAAGTCGAACGGGGCAAGTAGACGTCGAGATCTTCCGCGTAGTTCCAAACGACTGGTTGAATCAGCTGAAAAGGAAATCATAGGCAAAATGGCAAGGGTCGAAGTATCCGTTTTTAAGCAGCATTTTTACTGTCTCTCCCTTTTTCCACCATTTCTTGAGCCTTTAAAGTTCTGGGAAAAATGAAAAACTCGATGAAGGTAATCTTTTTGCGGCCTTTTTATTCATTGTCGTTAGCCACTATTCCGACCTTGCCCGAGTAGATAAGGACAAAAAAGCAAATTCAAAAAATTTTTACGAATAAAAAGAAGAAATCGGTTCGTTTCAGATTTTTATCTGAATATGAAAGTTTGTAGAAACAGGTTCTAAAGCTTTTTCTTGTGAATAAAAAGAAAAAAAATATCTATGAAAAAAATAAATGAGTTTCCCTTTTTCAAGCTGAGGACAAATTTACGATAAGAATAAGAAAAAAATAATTAAAACATCGGTTAGGTTGAAATGGGAAACAAGAAAAATTATTTTTTTATTTTTTTAGAAAAAAATCATCTATCAAATAAAGTTTAGATAAAGGATAAATGTTCAAACAGTCCTCGAATATGAAGTTTCAAACAAATTTCTTTCAAATAAATATCAGCAATTACAGACTTGCCGGATATCTAAAAAAATTTTTTTACCAAGCTCAGTTTTTTCTATGCCTTTTTTTTGAGCAAAAAAAAGAAGAAATGTACAGAAAGTCATGTACAAGGAGAAAAAATGAGAAAAAGTCATAATTTTCTCATTTTTTACACTCCAACAAGCTCAATTTTCCTACTAGATTTTCAGAAGCTCATAAGGGATCACAATCAGAAAAAATTGAAAAAAAGAGCAAAAGTCACCTTCGTAAGGCCATATTCGACCAAATCGCTCTCCATCCCGTTGACCATCATATCATGCCAAGCCATCACGTTTACCTGAAAAAATAACCTAGAAAATTCAATTTTTAAATTGGAATTGAAAAAAGACGGACATCGGGATGCTTCTCCTTGATATAACTGGCTGTTCTGGCGATGTGCCAAATCATCAATCTTTCTTTGGTTTGTTCTTTTTGCAGCCGAGCAACACTTGCATTGCATATACCGACCTGAAAATGATAAAATTATTGAGAAAACTAGGAAAAAAAAAATGATTAAAATGATCACCTGATAAGCCTCGTCGGCGCCCATATGGAAAAACTCCATCCCGTACTTTTTATGAACCTCCGACACCTCAAATTTTCATTTTCAATCGACAAAGAACTGGAGAAACTCATACGATACACAGAGCACAAAAACGCAAAAAAGTGTTCGTTAGCCCTCCAAAAAAGCTTTAAAACAGTACATTTTTGTTTTGAAACAAATTCGTCCCGTTTTGGAACAAGTTTCGTTTTTCCCCATGAACGAATTGTCCAGAAAAATTATAAAATGTGCTAAAATAAATTTTAGGAAAAAAGCGAACAAAAAACCTTGAAATTTGAACTTTCGATGCTTAAATAATCAAAAAAAACCTGATCAATCATTGAAGTTATCAATTCCCAAGCCTCTTCTTCAGGAAAGCAGATGACCTTAATGAAAATGAATTATGCAGAAATAAGGACTGTTGTCACTTGAGGAAATCGAGAATCTTCGCGAAGATGGGCGAATTCTTTCAACTTCAATATCCATTCCAAATGTCCGAAAGTTTGGACGAGAGGGATTATTTGAAGGTGATGACGGACCGCTTCTTGTAGAATGAACTCCACCTGAAAAATCAAATATGATAATTAAAAAGGTTTTTAAAAAAATAATATGACGCTTTAGAATTTAAAAAAAAGCAAACTAGAAAGAAGCAACAATTTTTTTGAAATATACACTTTTGCTCATTAAAATAACAAATTTTTTTCGATTTTGAGACGCCTTTTTCCACGAAAAATTACTCTTAGGACATTTTTAAAAATTCTACAAAAAGAAACTTCAAAATAGGCTCGATTAGATTTTTGAAGAACCAGATAAAAAAATTTATGGAAATTTCAATCATAATTTCAAATGAAAACATTGATTTTTCTGAAAGTTGCAAAAAAATTTTTGCACGAAAAAAACCCGTTTTTTTCCTATTTATTCGCACATGAAAACTCATTGAAAAATTCAAAAATGTACCTCTGAAAGATTATAAGCGTTTCCATTGACCGCAGACGCAAGTTTTCCCGTATAAGGGAACATATCTTCCCATTCTATCAAAACGCCGGTCGCTTGGAGGCGATTGAAGAAGGAAAACAGAACTGGGAAAAACTCGGGCTGAAAATATTCACAATATCGGAATTAAATCATTTTTTTCAAACCTTATATGGAGCTCCCTTCAAGTCGAGATGAATAATCCTCCTTTGGGGAATAAACTTTCCTTGGGAACTCAATTTCGGATAGGGCTCATTTCGGATTGTTTTTTGTAGAGTATCCGACTGAACTCTGGAAATATTATCATTAAAATTGATATGAATTTATCAAAGTTCTGATGCAAAAGTGAAAAAAAATTGACTTGAAAAACTGTTTTTTTACATTTAAAAATTCTACTTTTTTTAAAGAAAAAAATATGAAAAAAATTTTCTAAAAAGCTTCTCAAAAAAAGAGCAGTTTCAAGTACTTTTTAGGTTCTTTCAAACTTCAGCGCTTTTAAAATAACTACAGAAAAAAACATTCGAAAAATGCCTTTACAGTAAAAACAAAAAAATAAGTTTTTTTGTGCAATCATTTTTTTCATAAATTGAAGTCTTTAACAAATTACTTTATGAATTCGTCATGAATTTCGCTATTCGTTAAATTATGAGAAGAATATTTCACCTGTCAGAAACTTGCACTGGAGCCGCAAGTACTGATTTTCCAGGCGCCTGTTGTACAGATGGACTTTCCAATACTATCGGCTTTCCCTATAACCTTTCTCTTTCATATTCACACCAGAAACTTCTGAAAAACAGCTAGATCGAAAAACCTACATCAGATTCAGCTGGAGGCACGACGCGAGCATCCAAATGCGGGTTTTTGAACTGACTACTGATAAAAATGAAGACACAAGTTAGAAAACAGAGGTAGAGTAGTCGCTGGAAAGAAGAACGGGCCCGACGACCGCATACAAAGTTTCGCATCATTCTGTCCGTTTCAAACAACTAATTGTGGCATTAATTCTGAAAGCGTTTATGTTAGATAACTAAATGAAAAAAAAAAATTCAAGATTGAACAGAGATATGTAAGGAAAGCGGAAATATCAGCTGTGAGAAAGTCAAAACAGAGTGCTTCAAAAAATGTTCTGTACGTTCACCACTTTGATAGAGCCCATTCTGAAAAAAAAGGAGAAATGCATTAAAAAAAAGAATTTTTGCAAATATATCACGTCGCTAGCTACTCGAAAATCTTCCCCTATCTTGTTGCTATTCCATTTCAAGCAGCCTAAAAAAAATAGGTTCACAAGAATCAAAAGACATCAGAAAACTGATTTGGTTATGCTAATTGATGCGCTCCTCAGATTTCTCCGTAAAAAAATTTCAAGAGTATGCAGCCACAGTCGCTGAATTGTACGAAGCAAACGCAACTCGACGTCGCGTCGCGACGCGCAAAATAATGTTAAATTTTTCTTTTTCAAGCATTTATTCGAGGAAAATTCCTATTTTGACCAGGTGGCTTCTACTGAAATTTTCTACGTGTTCAAGCACTCTATTCACCTTTGAGAACAACGTATTGATTGAAAGTTTTTCCAAGCCAACTCATGACTAAGTAAGCGTTTCGAAGCTGTACAAAATAACAACTTTAACAAATTGTATTTAATAAACTTTTATTCAGTGAAACGTAACAGGTAAGTGGATTGAAAACGGACAAATTCAACGAATGGGAGATCATACCCGATATATTCAACAAAGAGAAAAAAAAAATTTCGAAGACAACAATAACAACAACGATTCCGAAAAACAGGGTGAATCAAAAAGTTTCAGCGGGTTTTTGAGATTGTTCGACGTTGGCGATTATGCTTTTACGGATAACCGTCACCAGGGCGAGCGCTTTTTCTCGAGCCGTCGTTATCAAGGAGGGCAGACGGGAGTGGGGAACCAAGCCATAGACATCCACGCAGGTTACCTGGATTTCGGAATTAGTATACCTGAACCTGTTCTTCTCGAGGCCACCGACTTCATTAGGGGCTAAAACTTCATCTTAGTTATAAATCGCTGGTTTTCTCACGAATTCACTATAAACATATGTTTCGTGGTACTGAATTTTGAACCTTCAGAGGTAATTGTTGGAAAGAAAAAAGGAAGATTTTGAACACTTTTTGAAAAAATGTCTCCTGGTCCTATCCATTCTGAATTTCTACCTTTCAAGCTGGCCACAAAAAATTGATCTTTTTCGTAAACTGTAGCCATACTTATTCCGACCAGAAAACTGATCTGATTCAATTTTTAGGACCTCTAATTTGGAAAAAATATTCAGCTTTTGTAAGGAACAGCACGGAATTCTCTTTTTTGGTTACTTTCGAGGAGCATTGAAGTTTTTAACCAAAATTTGAATCGAGAACTCGGTTCACCTGATTCAAATTGGGCACAAGACAAAGAGTGACGCCGCCAACGAGATTCCTATCTTCGAAATCAGAAATTGACGGATCCGTAACAAAATCCCCCTCGGCGGTCACTCCAACGTGTGCGGCTGTCATCGTTCCCATGGCCTGAACGAGAATTTGTCGAATCATATGGTGCAACAGCCACAAGAAGTACCGTTTAACATAAAAAACCGAAAATTTTTCATAGTTTTTCAATTTTTCCCCCTTTTTTTGACAGAGAAAAGTTATTCAGCTTTCTTGAACACATCCTGAAAGTTTTAGCCTTATTCTCCTGAAGTTCTTCTCTCTAGAAGCTTTCAAACCCTTCTAAAATAGAAAAAATACCTCGATTCCGGAATGAGAAATGGCCAAAGAAGCGGCAATGAGAGCCGCCGCCAACACGCCGCCATCGTCATTCAATACAGTAACCTATAAAACGATACCGGGAATTCCTCTCAGGACACCAGAAAAGGTTTACCTCGATTTCGATAGTCTTTCCGGGGTACTTTTCCGCAAAAATGACGGCAGAAATGGAAGAATTGAGCTGGGCTCGCATTTCGGATTGCTTATTTTCGACGACGCCTTTTATGGATACCTTAGAATGAGCTGAAGATTAGTTTCCCTCCTTTTTCGTTCTACCGTAATCTTAGCATGGTCTTCTTCCCATTTCTCATCACTATTAGGGCCGTAGATTTGCGCCAAAACGCGGGTATTTCCGAATTCGGCGTAGCCTGAGCCGTCCTGGTTGCTGAAGACGCCGCATTTTATGCCTAGAAGTTGAGAATATGATGATGCATCGTCAGGTGAACGAACAGCAAGGTCGGAAAGCGGTAGAAGATCTATGAGTGACCTCTCCAGTGTCCATTTTCTCCTCGCCGCCGTCCACCGATTGGAGATCCGCCAGGGGGATCACAAAGTTGGTGTGGATTGTGGGCATTTTCTGTCATTGATTCAGACTTCAGAACAAGTATTACATAAAGGATGCGATTCTACTACCATAAAGGGACAGGAGGGTTGATTTTTTTAGTTTAAAAATTATCATCAAAAAAACTCTTTTTGACAGTTTTTTTCAAGTACGATCTATACAAAATCCTTTTTGTGGTGTCAAAGACACAAAGGACCTAAAAACCTAATTTAAAAAAAAAAAACAAAAAATTTTCTCTCATAACTAGAATGAATTGTTTTCTAAAAAAAAAAATCCACTTGGAATCAACCTTCATAAAAAATTCTTCTTTCACGTCTTTTCAAGAATGAATTTGCTCCAAAAAAGGTCGCTTTTTAACTTTTGAAACCTAATTTCAGGTATAAGATCATGACTTCAACATAAGATCTGGTCACAAAACTATAAAGGAAAAGAAAGAACAGTTTACTGAAAAAGGAAAGAAAGACTGACCAAAAAATCGTCTACACGTAGATTCTTGTCACATTTGAGCTAGGGAACACATATTCAACAATAAAATGATAATCAAAATTAAGAAAATATGGTCTAATCTATAGATTTATCAATTATAGCGAATCATATTCGATTATAACTAACCAGAGCCGCGAGGAAAAAAATTTTTTTGATTTTATCAACTGTTTCTTGACCTCAAAAATCTATTTCGAATGAACTGTTTTTAAAACAACTTTTCGGGGTTTTTCAAGGTAAAATACTCCTGAAAAGATATCAAGATTATTGTGGCCTAATTATTTTAAACATCTCGGAAAGTTTTCATGAACAAAGTACAATATAAACTGGATGAAAATACTCGTTTTTTTCACAGTCGAATATCACAAATTATGGGCAAATGATCGGAAGGGGAAATTTTCGAAGGAAGAGCCCCATAGAGCTTCAATTTCTCCACCGGCGGCATCACACATCGTTTTTTTCCAGTGCCACTCCTGAGAATTCTCATATTTATAATACTTTTTATTCAAAGTTAAACCTTGTCCCCAAATGTAGTCAAGAAGTCCGTTGAAGCCTTCGCCGCCTTCGGGTCCCGTATAATTAGTGAATTCTGGAGTTCCGGTCAGACAATCCAAAGTTTCGTTCAGCTAAAAAGGGCTTTTTTGAAGCTTGATAGGTAGAAAAAGCCAACCTGAAGATCTTCAGGGACAAGTTTGTCATCGTTTTTCCAAAAATTGTAAGTTTTGTCCAGTTTTCCCTGAAAGAAGGTCTTTTCTCTCTAATATCACAGCTTTCATAAATTATTAATAATTCTTGATAGGGGTTTTTCAAAGACGCGTGGAACTTGAACTAATCTCAGGAAATTCAGGCGAAAAAAACCGGTTTACGTGTTATTTTAGCCACCCAAGAAAAAAAGGTAAACTGCGAAAGGGTTTTTTTAAAAAAATTTTTTTATTCCTCTAAGTTCTTCTGCCACCTTCAATTTATCGATTTGTCATCGAAAAACTTTTTTTCTAGAGATTTTTTTATTTATTATTATTGTTTTAGAAAAAAACGATATGCGTCAAAAAAATTAAAGCTCTCAAATTTGGTGCCGAGAAAAAAACTTGAAAAAAATCCCAGTTTCCTATTTCAAGCCTCCATTATAAATATCAAAGTGTAATTCCAGCTATTGCTTTTTTTGAATAGAAATATGTGAAAAAAATCAACGAAATATATATTTTTCTATTTTAGTTTCGAGCTATTTTTGAATAAGAAAAAGAAAAAAACTATATTTTTAAAAAAATAATTTCTAAAAAGAACTTTTTTTCGAGACTTTCTCAAATGCCAAAAAAATCAGACTCTTATGGGAAATAAAATTGAAAGCATTGAATTGATTTTTCAAGGAGTTGAAGCTGTCCAAAAGTTATCAAACTAATGGTCAAAAAAAATTTGAAATTTCGCAAGAAAAGTTTTCGTTAAAGAGGTTACTTTAAATATATTTTCAACAGTTCCAGATTTTTTTCCGTCAACTATCCCTGAAAAACGCACAAGAACTACTAAAAACATTTTGAATTTTAAAAAAAGCCCACAATAGTGAGGAGATGATAGACGGGCCCGGTCGGCACGCTGTTGAAATCTCCGCCAAACAACAGTTTCACGTCAGTCTCTGGATTCGCCGCCATTATTTCTTTTTTCAATCTTGAAATTATCTTTTTTTTCTTCAAAATCGCTTTCAAACGCACGATAAAAGTTTTCTGGTGGTGACGATTCCTTGGAACGCTTTGACCTGTTCGTCTTGGGGCGCATGGTGTAAATGAGTATTTCCGCACAAATATAACTTTCCGTTTTTGCGACATCGCAGTAACAGAACCTGAATGGAAGGAAAAGGTTGTTTATGATCAATCATTCTACGATCATGTGCACAAGAACAACTTTTTAGTTTTTTTGAGCTTCTTATTTTAAAAAAAATCGTGAAAGTCATTTTCTTTTCTCGATTTCTCCCTGAGGTGTGAACAGAAAAAAACCCTCTTTGAATAGCCTTTCAACACCTCAGAAAGGACTTTTCGACTTCAAACTCTCCGAGACAACTTTTTACTGGAAATCTTCTGCCTACCTGTAAAATAGTTGGACGGGAGAGCATGATTTTCTGTGTGTTCTCAGGCGACGCCTCCAAAATTCGTTTGATGTCTTCATTTTCGGGGTACTCTGTCGTTAGTTCAGCGACGCCAAAGGCTTGCGAAGAAACCAATCTAAAGGAAATGACAGATATTCGTGGGGAACTTGGAAAAAAAAAAGCTAATTTCTCAAAACTCAGTTATTTTGAATTTCGCGGGATTACTTCAACCACGCCATAATAATTTTTCATATTGAAAAAGGAAAAACTAGACAAATTATAGTATTTAGTTTGACTAACAAATGGATTAAAGCGCTTTTTTTCATTTATTAGGATTTTTTAAGAGCGTCTGAAACCGGGGAATCAACTTATTTTCAGAAACCTACTCGAAAAGTTGAAGATCGTAGGCTATGGCGGCGCCTTCATTCACGGCCAATCTTTTCTTGACAAATTCGAATCCGTAGCCCATTTCTTGGTACAGAACCCGGGCATACCGAAGTTGCATCTTCTGGTCGACCTCCTGCAGGAAAACTATCGAGGATCTCAGGTCTGAAAAATAAACTGATAAAAAAGGAAAGAAAGACAGCGAAACCTTTGAGCTGCTTCAAAAGCAACGGATATCGATAGTAGAGGGTTTGATATTGTTTCTCGCAGAACGGATAGAAAAGCTTATTTTGTTCAAGCTCCAAGTTGAGATACGAGGCCGCCAACATGTTGTAGGACATTAGGCGAGCACTGAAAAACACAAAAATAGATGAAATTCATGAAAGTTCATGGCTACGCCTCAACTTTTGCAAACTCATTGAGAATGTATTACTTGAACAGACTATTCCAAAAAACAGTTTTTCTGGAGTTAGAAAAAAACTTGCCAATTCTCCTCAAGAGGATTTTCTCGTATCCATTGCGCTTGATTATCCGTGACCAGTTCGTTTGGACCTTCCAGAACGATTTCCTCTTGTTTTGCAACCCTTAAACTTGTCTATATGATCTTTTCAAGAAGCGGAAATAATAAATAACTACGCGATAGGGGCATCGGGTCCCATATCAGCCACCAAAGCAACTTTTCGATTGAGATCTTCCGCCGTTGGAAAGAAAATCGGCCCTGCACTTCGATAAGAAAATCCATTGATCGAAAATGTTCTCTCCGTTTCTAAAAATTGATAAAGAGATATCAAAATGGACTTTTCTAGAACTGACCATCGATCATTTTGACCTCGAGTCCGTTCGGTTTCTTCACTTGGCCTTTTGGAGATTTGCCGTCTCTTTTCGTCTTCGTTTCAGGTGGAAGGTCGTCTTCTTCAAAAACTGATTCGCTGACAAACCAGTGAATCTTCGGAATATTGGGAGTGACATGACCTGCAAAATATGTATTAATAATGTGAAGACAAGACGAAGAGAAGGTAATAAAACAGTCCTAATTTTTAATAATATTTTATACAAGATTTCCGTAAGGTCTGCCGTTTTGTACGCAACGGAGTGGGAGTACGACGCGCAAAATTAATTTAGAATCAAAATTGTAGAAATGGAGAGTTGACACCATTTTTTAAACAGGAATTGGGTTTATAGGTTTATTTATTCATGGTTTATAGAAAGTTCAATCAAACAAAAAAATTTGAAATCCGTTATTTAGAGCAAATCGATTTATATTTTTTCAAGAAATAAATGATATTTGAAGTGAGAATATTTTTTTAAAATAAGGAAAGCGCTAAAAATAAGAAGTAGACAATGGAAGTATTTTAAGGAAATTCTCGAAAAGGGTAGAGTGAAATTATTTCCCTTTTCAAACAAGCAAAAACTCATGCTTTGCTTTTCAACGAAACCTCAAACTTTTTTCTTCATTTTGAGCGAAAACTAACTATTTTCTGCGAAGTCGATGCAGGAAATAAGCGGGGCTCCTACAATCGGCTGCAGTTCTGAACTGAAACTGGAGACGAACGTCGGATAGCGGATGATTCGATAACTCGTACCATTTACTATTATTTCTTTCAGATCATAAGGCTTCTCGAGTAGGGCCGGTCCAACTAACTGAAAGATAGCTTTCCCATGGCAAATCTAAAAAACTTACACTTTCTGCAAGATGCTTAGAGTCTTCTGGGAGACGAAATGTCATTCGTTGCATAAGTTCAAGATATTCCTTGCTACGCGTCTGATTATTCAAACCGTACGTATGCGCGACTATTTTCAACATTTTATCCGCTATCTGCAAACAAAATATGAGAATTTCCGGTTTCTATAAGACATTACCTTTTCAAAGCTATCGCCAAGAGAATCGTCAAGTTTTCTTTTTGATAAGAGCTGATAATTATGATCTTCATACTTGAACTCAAATAATATCTTCACCCTGAAAATTTTTCTAAAATTTTGATCAACACTAATTAGTTTAGAAAAAAAGAAAGCTTGAAAAAGAAACGAACCCCGGTTCAACTTGAAATTTAGCTCTCTTGTGCTCCACTGTCCCCTTTTTCTTTCGAAATCAATATTGAATTTTTTTCGGAATCAACATCTTTTTTTCAAAAAAAATTCAGGAAATTAAAGAAATGTAAACACCTCGTAGATTCCCATGAATCGCGATGTACTACTTTACTGCGCTGAAAAAAGTAGATCAAAATTTCGAAGACGCAAAAAATAACCTCGCCCAGAATATCAGTCCAAGAAGTTTTTTCTATCACATGAGGCTTTTTGACAGCTATCCCAAGAAACTCTAAGAAACGGGAAAGCATCAACCTCTTGAAAACATTTACCTGCAAATTGGCAATATTAAACAATTAAAATATAAAATATGATGATCTTAGTTATTTTTCGAATATGAAAACTTACTAATGCGTATTGATCTTTTAGAGATTAAAGAAGCTAATTAGATAACTTTTTTTCAAATTCAAATTTTTTTCAAAATTTAAACTGTCGTAAGATCACGAGCACTTTACGCGATTAAACGCCGAGTCGATTGCATGCGCAAATTTGTGTGCCATAGGCCAGTCTCTCTGCCACTTTTTCTTTCAAATTATTCATAATTTTTTTGAATAGTAAATCAACAATTTTTGAATGGAATAAAGTGCTTTTATTGTTGAACTTAGTAGTATGAAACGCTGCGAAAAGTTTTGCTTCCTTCAACTACATAAATGCTCTCATTCTCAGATCGTACTCAGTCTATCAATTTGGCATCGAACATTTTGCCATTTTCGATAAATTTTTGATTATTCTTAGAAATGACTTTTTGGTTCAATGTTTATTAGTAATTTACAACTGATATTTTCCATATAAGCTGTCCTGAGTTTTGTAAATATTTGGATAACTCGGCGGCGGCTTAGATGAATCACCTTTTCTGCTTCCCTTCCTTTACGAACCATCGCCCATTTCCTCATATTCTTCGAAATTTTTGATATTTTTTTTCAAAAATTCCTTCGTTTTACAGGATAATGATCCTCCTCGAGCAGAACAACCGTATTATTGTCGAGTTACTGGAGCTTAAGTTCGGCAATGCCAAGGAAGGGTTAGTTATTGAAATATTTATCAGTCGACGCAATCGTTTTAAGTGGAAAGCCAGAAGCGGTAAATGTGAACTTTGCCGATTTTGACGGCGTTCTGTATCATTTGTCGAATCCGGAAAACGACCGCACTCGCATTTGGGTTCGTGTTTTTTTTCGATAGTTTTTGGATGAAATTTCTTTCAGCTGAGCATTTCTTTGAAGTTTTTCGCTGAACTTCAACAACATGGAGCTGATGCGGTTAGTTTTTTTCAAACGATTTTTGGATTATTTTTGTCAACTTAATAAATCATAAGTTATAGGCTTTTCAAAAGTCTTGCTTTAATGATCTTTCGATTAGGGTTTTTCAACGAAAAGTCGTTAGGAAGTTTTATTTTCGATTTCTCATTGTTCAAAAAAAAATTTCTTCCTTAATTCTTGATAATTATTTTACTTCAAACTCACCGGATTCTTCCAGTTGCTCCGTCGCGAATATGGAAAATATCTGCTGGATCAGCCAGAGCGCGGCTACAACGTAACTTTGGAGTTCGATCTGAACAACTTGCCTGAAAATACGCCTCAAATGAGTGAGAATCAAATATTTTATTCTCAATGAATCGTTTTTTTTCAGTTGCCAAGGCTTCGGCGTTGAAAAGAAACTGCTTCGCGTCCGTGTTTGAGAAATACTTCGAGTTCCAGGTTATTTTTCTCTTTTGAAAATTAGTGGAACAGTTCGACAATCTGTAGAAAAGAGTAATTTTCAATAAAGACTCGAAAAATAATACAGAAAGACGAAAATATTGAATAAAGTTTGTTTTTTTAAAGGTCTCCAAACGGATTTGTGTTCGAAAAAAACCCACGGAAACAGATTCCAACTTTTTTTTTTCTTCAGGAAGCTGGCGAAGAAGGCCAAAAACGAGCTGTGGTCAACTATCGTGAGGATGAGACGATGTATAACTGATATGGAAGAATTTAATCCTATCAAAATCTATGTTTAGGTACCTTGAAGCGAAGGCCGACCGAGTTACGGTGATTTTCAGCACGGTCTTCAAAGATCCGGATGACGTCATCCTCGGAAAAGTCTTCTTGCAAGTGAGTAGGAAATGAAATGATACTTCGTTTTGATGTTTCAAAAGCAGTATAAGTTTGTGGGATATTTGGGAAAAACCGTTTTGTGTATCACATTGCGAGCTACAAAGTGAATAATCGAAGTTAGGATTTAGAACCTAAAAATCGCATTCGAATCAAAAATTTAAAACAGTTCGACGTTTTCTCAAAGGTTTCACAATCAGAAAATTCTCGATCTTGGTTCTTTTTTTAGAATTTTCTCTTCTTTTTGAGCAACATGAGAAGTTCCATGATACTTTCTAGAGTTTTTGAAAAGATTGCTTCATCGATTTTTCTGAGAATAAATTTAATCATGATTTTCAGGAGTTCCGCGAGGGACGGAAAGCCAGCCAAACGGCGCCGGCCGTGCTCTATTCGCTTGGAGAACCGCCACTGGAACTGAAAAATCAACCCGGAGCTCGTGTCGGCGACAACGTTGGATATATCACTTTCGGTACTTTTTTCTTTTTCAAATAATGCTCGGGATATTTCAAATTCATCAATGAATGGAAATTCAGTGCTTTTCCCCCGTCACACGAACAAGAAAACGAGAGACAATACAATCGACCTTATTCACTCATTCCGCGACTACCTTCATTATCACATCAAGTGCTCCAAGGTGATTCAACTTCTGAAATCCGTGTTATTATATTGTAATAATAATAATGTAATAATAATTTCGACGGGTTGAAAATTAATGTGTTTGTTTGAAAGAATCACTCAAATTACGCAATTTTGTGAGTTCAACCGTTTAAAAAGATCGGTCCTAGAACAAGATTGCGGATTTTACGCGCGAAATTCAAAATTTTGCATTGATTAGGATTTTTATAACAAGTATTTTGTGTAGGACCCAACTTTTCTAGAGATTTTCAATATTCCGATCTTACATATTTTGCAAAATAGTTATAAAAAAAAACTCGTCAATTTCGGAGTTGGCAATATAAAATTGAACACAGCAATAGAATACTAAGTTCAAAATTATTTTTTGTTGACTTTGAAACTTTTTTTTGTCTCGAGACCTCCTTTTTAAACTTTTGAATCCTAACCGTTCCAATTTTTCCAGGTTTACCTGCACACGAGAATGCGTGCCAAGACCAACGATTTTCTGAAGGTCCTCAACAGAGCGCGACCCGAGATCAAAGGCGAAAAGAAGACTTTCAGGTTGGTTTTTCTTCCAAAACTGTTCAACTAAGTTTCTCAAAGTGCCCTCAAGTGGTCATTTGAAAGCTTTTATATGGTATTTGACCTTGACTTATCGAGTAGTCACTTGAGGAAATTCTCGAAGAGTATATTTTTTTATTAGTAGTCATTCGAGAGTATTCCATGCAGTAATCTGAATTCAAAATCTCAGGTAGCCCATCAGTTTTTGAGGTTCCACTTGTTTGATAAATTCTCGAAAGGTCACTTGAATTTTCCTTGAGGTTGAGATCCTTTTTTGAGAAAGTGTATTTTATAACTTTGAAATTTTCGAAAATTTTTTTCTTTTTTTTTCCTGCACCTTTCGTATAGTTATTCTTCACGGAGAAAATAGTTTCTCAAATAAATTTTTATTGCTTCAAATAATAAATTGATTTCTTGAACTTTCAGTGGACGCACTTTCCAGTCGCCCTGAACACTTTAGTGGCCACTACTTTGGCAATCGCGACGGGCAATCCGTGGCCTTAAAGTCATCCATTCCTGTTAAACTTTTTCTTTTTTTTTCTCATCAATTTTTCTAAATTGTACAAACGCATATCTCAAGTTTCCCTCTTTTTTATAGCGCCATTCGAAGTTTTTTCTCATCTATAACATTTTCAATCTGCTTTAAATGAACTTTCGAAACAAAATGTCGTTGCAGAACTTTTTTTTCTAATATTTTTCAATTTAGTGAGACCTCCATGTCCTCTATTTCACTCAATTTTTTTCCCTCTGCGTTGTTTTCTTTTTCTTATATTAATACAGTGATACAAATTTCTCTTTTCCAGTTGAGAAAGGCTGCGAAGTTCTACATTTTTCATGTTTCATATATTTCTTATTCGCTCGGATTTCTCAGCTTTATTTTATTGTTTTCTTAAAGATTTTTTGAATAAATGACTTAATTTTATAGTTCTTCGAAAATTTTTTAAAATAAGCTTCTTAATGAGACTCTAATAGAGCTATTTTCGCTTACAATTTTTCAAAAAATATCGTTTCAATTCTGAAATTAAACTATAAATTAAGGGAGCCGAAACATTTTTAAAAAATATGGTAGAAGCTCAATATTTTTCTCGTTGAAAGTTGACAGAATGTTACCGATTGAGGATGGTTCAGATGGAAAATGATAACTTATCGTCTTTTTTTTCGAAGCCGAATCGATTTGCCGAAACGCAATGACCGCAATCAATGCCAGGGCAAGGTCACTTTTTTCTCTTTGCAATTTTCGCCGTTTTTCTACTTGTTTTTGTTGTTTTCTTAGTCCAAACCTTGGAAAATACGCCTATTTTGGGGTTTTGAACAAAGTTTCTCTGAGAAAGAAGACAACGAAAATTTCCGTTTCATTTTTTTTTGAGGCGAGAATTCCACACATGCGTTATTATAAAGTCGGGTATTTATGTGAATGAACTTTAATTTTCAATTTTCCAATGCTTAATCTTAAATTATTTCCAAATTTAGTTGAACCCGACAAGTTTCGGGTCTACATAGCTTTTTTTTTTAAAACTCAACGTATATTTGAAAGTTTCAGTTCATTTTTCGAGAACCAGGTGCACGCCAGTTCAGACCTACAGGGACCCGTCCGGTTTGCACTGCGCCGTCTTCGCTGGCCATACTAGACCATTTTTGATCATTTTTTGTATTGAATAAAATTAAGAAGGCAATTTCTGACATTAATAGATAAAAAATTACAGAAAAAAAAACTTCTCACTTACTAAAGACGCATTTCCCAAATTAGGCCATTTTTCAAGGCTTGCCAGCGTTCGCAAAAACTTGATTATTAAAACTAAATTTGTATCTTTGAATGTTTTATATGTGTTTTTCTTCAAATTTGTTTATTTTTTCGTACAAAAAGCGCGTTAATAACGAAGATATCGCCCACTCTAACAAAAGTTGCGGTGCACCCCGCGTCCAACTCTCGTTTCACCCCGCAGTGTAACCAGGGGTGCACCCCGTTTAGCTTTAAATGCCCATTAAGGTACTTTTTCCGTACACGATTTCGAAGTGGTTTGTTTCCCAATATCACCATTTTCTACCGTTTCATCCTAGGTCGTTTCGGTAGCTCAAAAAGAACTTCTCATTTTTGACCGGTTGCCCCAGGGGTTCACCCCATTCAGGTCCAACGTGGGGTTCAGCGCAAACATCAACGAAAAGCTCACTTTTTTCGGGGTTCACTGCGGGGTACACCCCCATTTTTGTTAGAGCAAAAACCGCTATTGGTGTATGCACAATTTAAACGTACAGTGTGCCAAACCGGACGGGCTGAACAGATGTGGGTGTTCAATAATTTCTCTAATAATGTACTTGAAAGACATTTTTAATCTTTACAACTTCGATAAAAATTCATCTTTTCTTGGGAAAAGTAATGCAAATGCGCTCTAAGGATAATTTTTGAACTCGCAGTTGATTTTTTTTTTGGCATTTTCTGTAAAGAAAAAAGAAATATGTTTCGGACCTCGTTAACGAAAATCAAACGTTTCTGATCATCTCAAGGGATCACTTGAGAATGCTCACTCTCCTAAGCTGGTCACTAGATATCCTCGAAACGTCCGATTTGCGCTCACAAGGTCCGAGTACATTATCAAGAGCTTTTTGAAAAACATTTTCAATATAAAAGCCTTTTGGGCTACATTGTATTATTTTTTTTGAGTTATTCCGTGATTTTTTTTGCGTCGAATTTCATTTCCAATGATAGAGGAACTGTTGCTTTCAAGCCTAAAAGATCAGAAAACATTTCAAATATCAGACGATGTCCGGCTTGGGAGAAAAGCTTTTTGTCCGCTTTTTACAAATCGTTTACACGTTGATCGTGGCGACGGTGATGATCTTCCTGCGTCTGAAACACGGCCCAAAGCTTCTCGAAACGAAAAAAAGAACGACTCCGCCGAAGTGCCTCGAAGGATGGAACAGTCGATATCTTAAACTAAAGGTATTTTCGTAGCTTGATTAAGTGGGCAAATAAAAATAGGAAATTTCTGAGCGCAATTTGATTAATTTGCTGTGTTCTTTGTATAATGGAATTCTCTTTGAAAGTCTCAGAAAAACAATAACTTGTTTTCCAAATAACTATTGAAGAACGTGCGGCTTCACTACGTGCAGACGGGCGAAGATTCGAAGCCGTTGATGTTGATGATCCACGGATTTCCTGAATTTTGGTATTCCTGGCGGTTCCAACTGCGCGAGTTCCAAGACGACTACAGGTAGAAGCTTTTTTGAGTTTCGGTTCATACATCAATGATTTCTGAGCTGATGTGAGTGTAATATATAACGTTTGAATATGTAAACTGTGTAAACACGAGCAAAGTTTCTTAAAAAGTGTCCAAAATTTCTCTATTTTTTTTTAGATGCGTCGCAATTGACCAGAGAGGCTACAACCTCTCGGACAAGCCGATGGGCGTCGAATTCTACACAGCAGAGCTGTTGGTCAACGACGTCAAGGAGGTCATCGAAGCTCTAGGTATTCCAGAAAAAAAAAACTCCAAGACTAACAAACCAAAAATAATTATTCAGGGTACGAAAAGGCCGTGGTAGTCGGTCATGACTGGGGAGCTCTAGTGGCATGGAAAGTTGGTTTTTTAAAAATAATGAGCAATGATCATTTATTTCATACAAGATAAATGCAATATTTCTCGACGTTATCTTTTTTTTTTTAAGTGGCGAGAGATATTTTTCAGCTTGCCATCAGTTATCCTGAGCTGGTAGACCGCCTGGTGATTCTGAACGCTCCACATCCGACGGCCTTTATGAAGGTGATCAGCACCAACTTCAAACAGTTCAGAAATAGTTGGTTAGTCGGTTTTCACTTAAATTGAAGTAGAAAAAAAAGTAGTATGAGATTGAAAGAAGGAGCTTTAGGCTACACAAATGTGTATGAACTGGGAAAAATGAGTATGAGCTCAAAACAGAAGAGAATCAGCTTTAAAAAAGAGTGAGAGCTTAGGAAAAAAAAAGAGTAGGACTCATACTGTATGAGCTTCTAACTTGTAAAATGGAGTTTCAGAAAATCCTCCGTTGACGTCAATATTTTATTAATTTAATGGAACCTGAATGAATTTTAATTTTACGAATACTTCAAGCGAAATGAAACTTTACAATTTAACGTTGATTATTGCACTGAAAAGAGAAAATAATAAGAATTGAGCACAAGTTCAAGTTCCAAAAAATGAAAAATATCAGATTTTTTTCGAGACAAAGGCTAAAAACAGGAATTTCCCAATGAAAATAGTCGTGTTGTGTTTGCTCCAAGGACAAAGTTGGCCTGAGTTTTCATTAGTTTATTCCAGTCACCCAACCTATTTCAGGTACCTTTTCTTTTTCCAAACGCGTATTCTACCGGAAATGTGCTGCACGACTTTTGACTACAAGTTGCTCGAGAAGGCCTTCGAAGGCATCAAAAACCGAGAAAATCTGACCGATGAGGATTTGGAAGCCTGGAAGTACACTTTCGGACAGAAAGCTGGTACTGAACACGACAATTTATTCACGGAATTTTCAATTTGAGATGCTTTCTCTTTTCCTTTGCACTACTACCGGAACATTTTCAACAGCAAACCTCCAACGACTTCCTCCGGTTAAGGTGAATTTGGATATTTTATTCAAGAATAGCAATAAAAATGTGTTTTAAGCCGAGAACATTGATAATTTGGGGGACCGGCGACACTGCTTTGGTACCAGAATGCGCCAAAAACAGCTTGAAGGTTGATTTTTTTTTTTCGTTTTTTAGAGAACCATGTTCAATTGAATTTTTTCGAAGGTTGCGATAGCTGTTATTGAAGAATGGGTCCTGACACGATGAAAAACTAGAGAGTGTCTGGTTATTGGAGAGCCCAGACAGGCCACGCCCCTACGCGTCCCAAAACCCTATCTCTTCTTCTTCTTTCGTGTCAGGACCCTTTTTCGATAAATCAAGCCAGACTTGAATCGGCTATTAGGAAAAATCCAAAAATTTTATTTCCTGAAAGAAAGGTCTTCAGTACTGCGAGGACGGTGAGGTGAAGTACGTGGAGGGGGCTTCCCACTGGGTTCAGCAGGACGAACCGAAAATCGTCAATCGCCACATCCGCGAATTCCTTGAGCAACGGGGCTGAGCAACTTTTTCAAACGAGTAAAAAGGTTATAAGAAAGAATAAACTATTATATTTCAAGGTCATGGCCATTTTGTGAAAAGAAGGAAAAAGATATTTAAATTTAGTTGAAAACGAGACTTGAAAAAAAAGGGAACATTCGCTTGTCAGCTTACTAGGGAAATACTCGGACTCGGGTACGGGTTTCGAGTTCAAACTTTAGTGGTTTATAGACCCAAGTCAGAATACTTGGAAACAAGGGAGGATATCTGCTAAACCCCACAAAGAACTGAGAAAAAAATTAGTAGAAAATGTGAAAATTAGGCCTGAGAATTTTTTTAGAATACTTCTTTTTACCTTCTTTTATATTTTAATACAATTTTTTCACAGTTCTCTATCGGGTATAGCAGGTAATCTCTTTTGTTTCCAAGTACTCTTACCTGGGTCTATAAGCCACCAAAGTTTCAACTCGAAACGCGTACCCGAGTCCGAGTAGTTCCCTAGTTGGATTGATCGGCTTTTCAAGAATTCTTCAATAATCTTTGTGTTGATGACTCGATTTTTGAGCAATTGCTTCTTTTTTAGATTGAACCTATTTTTTTAAAGTATATCCAAACTAGAAAAGATTTCGAAAAAAATTCCATCGAAAAGACCACCTGGTGAAAGGTTCATTTTATCTCATTTCGGAATCGACGGTATAAATTCTTGAACATAATGAACGTTTATCAAATTGCCGTGACACGTTCCCTGAGATTAGCCTTTTTTTATGAAAATGTAGGAGTCTTCAAATTTGAAGGAATGAGAAAAAATTACGACAAAAGACTGTTTTTTCTGAATACTTCTCTCGTATTTTTTTTCTATTAAGTTATTACTGAAGTTGGGTTTTTTTTTTCTATTTTAATCTTTCTCTGAATGCTTTTATCCTTGAGTTTTTGTTGTTTTCTCGTCATTTTCTCCATGAAAGCTACATTATTTTGGACTTCTGATCATTGAAAAGCTTCTGGAAACTGTTTTTGTTTTAAAAATTGAAGAAAAATCGAGTTGTCTAATTTTGACTTTTTCCAGTCGATTTGCCCTTTTTTGGGGTTTCTTTGGTTTGACCGACCTACTTTGGAGAGCGTTTTGATTTAAAATTCTGGCATTTTTCAAACTTTCTTTTTCTTTTTTTTGATGCACCTTTTTGCTCAAGTTTTTTGAAGCTATTTTTCAAGTATTTTGTCAAATTTTGCTATTCAACAAAAGACTGGTTTTTTGTCAATATTAGTAAGAGTATGAGCTGGGTTTTACCTTATTTTTGAAGCTGGAAAGTCTGATAATGAAGGGTATTTTTTTTCATTTTTAAGATATTAGCATGACCTTTCTTAACAATATGTATCTATTCTAGGGCCTTTTCATTTTTCAAAAAACGCTAATCTAAGTTTTTCACAAGGAAGGTCTTTTTCTTCGCGGTTGGGAATTAACTCAAAAATGGACAGAAAACTCCTTGATGTACAGTATGGATATCCTGGAAGTCTCTATCTGCAAAGTTCTATTTTATAAAAAACGGTGCCTCGGATTCCGTTCAAATAGGCTATTTTAGGGTTTTTGGCCTCTATTTCTCGAAATCTAGGAAGTTCTGAAGGTTGAGACTTTCAGAACCTCCTTCTGATACATCAAGAAGTGTTTCGGTCGGATTTCAGGAAATTTCCAACCCCAAAGTGAAACGATCTCCCTTGTCAGATGAAGTCTGAAGCTGGCCACAGTGTACAGTGGCGCAGTGTTTGTCGAACGGCCCCTCGGACCAAAGATGGGACCTCCTTCTGCCAAAATCGCCTTATCGCATTAGGACCGCCCCGTACGTGTTGCAGAACAACCTGTGCGGCTCATTTGATCTTTTTCTGGCTGGCTACCGTAACTGATAAATTTGTTTGTGTCTGATATCGAAGGTCTGCCGGCATGCCCTACGGTAGTCCGTTCGGTCCAATTAGCCCATTAACTTTGAGTTTCTTCTCTTACTTTTCAGCTTTAAGCGGAACTTGTGGTTTCCCCTGTTTTCATCACATTCTTATCTTTTTGACATAAATTGGCAAGCTTGCTAGTTTCTAATCTTAAGCCCCTAATTTGCCAAAACAGCTAAATTCATCAGTTTCTCCGAGTTTTGAGCCGTCTTGTCTGTTTTGTGCTCAAGTCAACATTTTCTTTTTCTGATCATTCAAACTTTTTGGAGATCGTTTTTAAAGTATTAGGAAAAATCTCAAGAGTAACTTTGTTACAGTAACTCTTCAGACAGAAAAAATAAAGACGCGAAATTTTTTTTGTAATTTTTCTGTGGATAGCACAGTATTTATTTTATGATTTTGAGATTTCATTTTGTTTTTGGATTGATTTTTTTTTTATTGAAACTCAGCTATGCAGCTACAAATTTTGGCTCTTGATGATTCTTAAGATCACTCATCGATTTTTCCTATGCTCTACAAGGAAGGTTATTCTACTTCTGTTGGGTATTTTCTAAAACAAAGTTCCTTGTTGAACCAAATGAAGGCCCTGAGAGTGAGAGAACTCTCTTTTTATAGAAACAAAGGTTAAAAAAGGCCTACTTTAACCCTTCTGATGGGTTTCTTTGACTTTGAGGTCTCCCTTCTTGAAATATATCGTGCAGAAAGAGACTTTGACTAGGTTCATCCGATGCATCAATGAGTTTTCAGGCCAATTTTGCAGGGAATAGCAAGGGAAAATGACCTTCCACATTTTATTATTTTACACATTCACATTTTATCATTAGCTTTTCCCGTTTTTATCTCATTTTTGGATGTTACCATATACACCATACCACAATAATTTTCATACTGTCTGCAGCGTTTATTATTACTGTCTCACCTTTTTTCTCAATATATCTGAGAAAGGAAGCCGAATACCTTACCGGTAGTAATGGGCGTGGATAATCGGGCCAACAATGGGCCGCGTGGAAAGCGTAATAGTGTGAGAAGGGGCTGTTTATGGGACAATGGCTTCTTGACGGCCAAACGGACAACTTCGGCAAACAAGGCCTGACGGGCCTTGGCAGCTGCCCGTTGTCCTGTTGGCTCATAAGCCAGTAACTCTATCAGACAGATAAAGTATCCTTTTTGAGTAGTCTGATAAAATGCTTGGCTAGACGTTCGAAGTAAAGATTCGGCTTGCTCTAATCAATCTGAAACTCAGAAATGGAGTCTTTATACAAAATCTTTTTTTAAATGAAAATTTTTTTGAAGGATCCTTTTACTTGATACTTTGGATTTTTTCAACTAGCACAAAGGCAGTAGAGAAGAGAGGCTCTTTAAAATTCAACTTTGAAGGAATTCCTATTATTTAAAGAGAGGGTCTTTTAACTTTCTGATTTCTTGAAAAAGCTTTTTGAATCGCTTTTACTCAAAAATTGAGACTTTCAACCTTTTCTAGACCTTCATAGAATGTGTAATAATTGATTTACAGAAAATTTCGGTCTCTGCAAACAAATTTCTCCCTTATGAGACTCATCTTTTCTTGGAAATTTCGGAAGATAGTTTTCTGAATGTTAGGGAGGCTGAAATTTTTTTCATAATTTTGCAGAAAGCTCTGTTAAAAAAAATTTGAAAGCATGAAGTTATAAATAAAAAACTCGTGTATAAATGTTTTTTACCAGAAAGAGAGTAATCTTAAAACGTCATATTTACAGAGCCAGAAGCTCTGACAGCTAGCTGCCATTTGGCTTTGACTTCAAGTACAATTGAGAGCTTTTAAGTAATTTTATAACGACTTCCGATCTTTCACCTGAAATATTCTTTGTAGGAATATTGGATCGACCTCTTGTCACACTTGAAAACCTAGATCCCTTTAAAACCTGGAAAACTTCTGTGGCAAACAGTCCTCCACGGGTAGCAGCCCGTTCCCACGCTTTCAGAATTTCGAAAAACGTTGTTGAAAGGAGAAAGTTTCACGCATTGGGAGAGGTTTGATCAGTGCAGCTGGAATGAATAGAACCGCACAAACAACCGCAAAATGGCCGCGAAAAAAAACCGAAAAAGCTCAACAGTTTACGAAATGGACGCGCATTGCGAGCGTGTGCCAACCTGACCATGGCTGTTTCTCCGAAAACGCCTGTCCTTTCGTTTCCGATAGTTTATAGTCTGTTCAAAAGCTTTTTCTGGCTTTGCCTCTCTTGCCTGACTTTGAAAATGGCTTTTCGTCTTGAGACCTATGTTCAATTCAACGATGCTCCTTTGAACAGCCGTTCTTTATAATGCTTTGTTAAAATTAACTCGATTCTAGAAGAATACTCTTTCGAATAATCTGTGAAACTGTTGATTTGTTTTTGAAAAAGTCTTTGAAACGAAAATTGAAGTTCTACTTTTGAGAGACCTCTAATAATTTCAGAAATTGATCATTGAATTTTTTTTGGGTTCAAACGCTTTTTCGCCATTTGTTTCAGGACAGTTTTTAACAAGCTAGAGTTTGAACCTACACAATTTTTTTTACTCGTAAGTTGGGCTTCAAGTTTTTTGTTATCATTTTAATCTCGTTGCTGCGACTTTACAATTGTTTTATTTGTTTCGAAATGTGGGAAAAACGCGCTATAAAGTGCTCGAAACAGTATCCTACATACTTTTTTCAATATTTTCTTTCTCTGAAACCGAAAAGAAATGAAGTGTGATGAAGCTCCTCCGGCTTTTTTTCAAATTGCAACCGACTCAACCAGCCGCTTTTTCGAGAAATGGTCGTTTGCAGCCACGTCTCATTGGCCGTAAACGCCCGAAAAATCTTGTTTTGCCCTCTTTTACGGTAGTTTTCCCTCTGCCAAAAATGTTGCGACGCTTTTTCTTGTTTCATTTATAGAGCCGATTTTACGCGATCAAAAATGCGCTCCAGAGAAGCTCTTTTTTGATTTGTTTTTTTTAAAGTTTCACTCGAAACTTCTTAAGGTTTGCTTTAAAAGCAATTTTTAGAAGAATTCGTTTGATGAAAATCATCTAAATTTTTCAAATTGTTTGAAATCTTTCCAATTTTTAAGTTACAATCTCCATTTCTCT